GACTAAAAGAGTTGCTAGTGTATTATGTATCTTTCTAAAGAATTTTTTCCTACCACTCTTTCTGTGTAAGATACGTTCTTTTTGATCTTCATGGATTTAACTTGGATTTAATTTAACTGGGATTCAAGTAACAAAAAATGACACGGTTGAAAAGCGAAGACTTAACGTTTTAGGAATTGACGTCATCTGCTTCTCAGAATAAATATGTGGCATTAAATAATGCGTGACTTTTCACTGTAAAGGAAGTAGACGGTCGTTTATCAGAATGGGGGCCGATAACGAGGACAAAGCTCTGAAGGAGTAAACAGCCGGCTGTGACGTAGGAAAATACATTAGGAGTCGGTCACGAATCGTTGCGTTTGTAGAGAGAATCCGAAATTGATGTCTTCAATGAAAAGATCAATTTATCGTGATAAGAATCGTGCTTATGCAAAAGTAGTGAAGCAGAAGACGAGTGAAATTCGTAAAAATAAGGAAGAAAAAAGATATTGTCAGAATAATTAATGCGCTGAAAGAGGAAATGTCCTCTTTCACGTTACGTATATTCTTCCTTCCTTCCTTTCTTTTTATCTCTTTTTTTTTAAATCTCGCTCGATTCAGATTTCGGAAGTTAATTAACGGAGTCAAAAAACGCGTTTCCGCACATCGGATCGAAACTCTAACAATTCACTTAGTTCTGGACTATAATTACCCTATTATCATCCTGTCGACCGATCGAGTAATTGCCTTGTTAAGATCAAATGAGCTCCAATCTGTATTACAAGCGACCACTTTTACCCCTTCCTATCGGTTTCGAGCACGCTTTCGCGAGAAACAGGCTGGCACGGTGCATGAAAGAATATTTTAGTAGATCATTAATCTCGGAATAATACGCGGATAAATTTTCAAAATAAGCCAAGTTCGATGCAACGTAAAGTGCGAGATTTTTCTGGAAATTTTGACAGGATAAAATATTTAAATTATTATGCTTTTCGATATAAAGATTTCTTCGAATCTCCGATTTAGGTATCAAGAGCATTCTTCTTGCGATACAAATGTCGGTACTCAAACACATCGATATTCCACCTTCGCCAAACATATACTCGAGACGCAAAAAGTTGATAGAAAATAAAAACTTGTTTAACTTTTGATATATGCACAGTTGAATTTGTGTTAAATTTAGCAGATGTCGCAAACGGTCCACAGAAATGTTTGTATTAATTTAACATAATATGGATGAATTAAATAGAGACATAAATATTGTGTTAATATTTTAACACAAAATAAATGCCAAACTTCAAGTAATTTAAAATAAATTTTGTGGGAAATTAACATAGTTTTAATGTAAAATTTAACTAAAAATATGTCAATTTTAGGTTTCATTGTCTCTATTTATATTATAAAATAAAAAATCAACATTTTTTCTGTAAATTTTAACAGATAAACTTGTCACTAATAAAACAGAACATATTTATTGTATAAAATTACAAATGATGCACACTGTATTATTTATACATATTTTTTTAGTTGTTTAAATAATTTAACATTTAAGTTCAATTAACACAACAGCAATATGTTAAATTAACATAACGTATGAATGTGTAAAATATTTAACACAAAAATTGTAACGGGGACCGTTTTAAGAAGAAAACAAGTTTTCATATTGTGTGTATGTCGTTTAAACACGGAAAAAAAGAATTAGCTACCACAGCTAAATTTTAGTTGTCCATATATTACAATTATTCAATTTAAATTATCATACCTAAATTTTAGTTATGGTAACTAATATTTTTTAGCTATAATTTAACGGAGAATATAGCTAAAAAATATTAGCTGTTATAGCTAAAATTTAGGCATGAAAACTCAATTTCATGTGTAATATATAATATATGGACAGCTAAAATTGAGCTATAATAGCTAATTTTTTCTGTGAAAAAAATCTCCTAACTCGTATGGTTGATGTTCGATGCTAGTTAAGCAATGTACAGGCGATCCTGTCATTGATCTTGGAGTATACTTTACTATCATCAAGATCTTAACGACTAACGGACGACAGCAATAAATTTGATTGGCCTGGTAAATTGTCGGTTGCTCCGAGGAGGAAGAGACGATGTTCGGTCCATTTCTTCATAATGGCCAATTGTCGCGCGACAGAATCGTCCGAATGAGTGCGTGTCCTAAGTAAACAATAAAATCGTTTCGGAGACAGCGGTCGTGTCGTTGCATCGCAACTTTCGTATTAATATCTTCTCTTCCGCTCTTCCAATATTTTTCATGTGTAAATATTTAGCCGTTACGAAATATAAACAAGTCGATAAGATATTTCAGCCGGAACAAAAAATCGTAAATTATTTCATGATTAAAGTAATCGTATTAAAAAAAAATGAATATTTAAAAATGTATAAACTGTTTTTGAAATAGATTCTCGTCATGCCCTACGAGAAAAAGAGAGAGAAATATGCCACTATGTTAAGAATACCAAGAAGGAGCCAAGAATGACCGTCTTGATCTTTTCCAGCTTGACTCAACCAAAGAATTGCTTTAAGGATCTACGAAGAGCCGAAACTTCAAAGCTTTACCAAAGAGAAGCCAACGATATCTTACCGTTGCAATAATAATACATTGCTATCATTCATAATTTACGAAACAAGCAATACGTCGAAAGAAACAATCTTGTTACGTCGAAAATATTCATTGGGACACTCGAAGAGTAATAAAATATTTCGAAAGGAGACACTAAGATATATCTGAGAGAAATCAAGACCGATCTTCCAAATGAAATTTCGCAAATCCTCCTTATCCAGCCCGAAGATGGAATTACTCTCGAGACGTTCCTCGGGCGATAGGATATCGACCTTGAAGAGGTCGAGATCCTTTCGGGCATCTGTGAAACTGATGTCGAAGATACGCAATCACGCCAACGCGCGATTGACCGCAGGTTTCGACCTATCGTCCATCTCGAAAGATCCGAAGAAGGAACGCAACCTCTTCGTCATCGAGGAATCTCGGAACTCTGAAAAATCCGCGAACCTACGGAAAGAGGATACGAGTTCTCACATCAAAGCCGCCGAGACATTCCCGAATCCTCGAGAAATGTCGGAAAACGACACCGGCTCGCAAGAGATCGCGAAGGATCTGAAGAACAAATTGTCTTTGACCGACAAGATAATGGGTAAGGATCGCAAGGACACAGAAAGACCCTCGACAAAGGATGAAAAATCACCGAAGGTGATTCGCATTTTTCGCAGGAAACGCAGCGTGGAAAGCACTCAGGAAGACACTCGAGGGAAAAACTGTAACGACAAACACGTGTCTTCCGAGACGGATCTATGTCAGCCGGGCAAAAATGTATTCTATGAAAATCCTACGTTTGTATTAGACAATTCGTTGGATTCCTCCGTCTCGAGCTTTCTCTACGAGGTAGAGGAAAAGGAGGAAGAAAATGAGAAGGAAAAGGAGAAAGAGCAACAACAAGATTGCGAAAGTGAGCGAGCCGTGTCCTGCGAACGTGACGTTTTAACCGTCGTCGTGGATTCCCACAAAGCCGCGATTAACCGGCCGAGCTATCAGAAAATTAATTACGAGCGAAACAGACACAGCGACGAAGAGTTGCAGAACGCATTTCTTTCCAGACCGTGCGAGATCGATCCTTTGAGATGTTTTTGCGAAGGGAGAAGCAAAGAAGCAAACACGATAAACGAGAACCGAAGAACTACTGAATCTTTCAGCGGATTCGATCGATCGAGGATTACATTTTATTGTAAAGCGCACGAAACGGCAAGAAAAAACCCATCAAACTGCTTACAGGATCAGAAATTTCTTGACAATGTCAAGACCTGTCCCTCGAAATCTTGTAGGATCAGGACGGTCGATAACTTTACCAACTTTTGGACGGGCAAACGTGGTAATAGTTTTCGAAGTAAAATGGCAGCTGATAGGAAAAAGGATGCGAAAGAAGCGAAGGATTACGAGCGGGTCGGTAGGCAGCAAGTTCTCGTGTCGACATCATCCGGATCAAGTACGCTAGATCATTAAGTTTTCTAATTAATCAATGGCGCGCCGGACGCAATTAGGCAGTTCATAGGAAGTTGGCTCGAATTTCCGCGGCGAATTATTGATTTAACTCTATCCTTTTATGGAAACATTGTGAGAAAAAAAGAAAGAATCTAGATTGATAAGACAGCGCTTTTACTGACGTATTTTAACATTAAATAAATTAATAACTGGAAAGTTGCAAAAAGAAAGCATGTTTATCGCGAAATCAGACGATAAACAAGCATTAAGAACATCACTGACACGTGGGAAAATTTCTAGTTGTGAAAGTAGCTCAAATAAAACGTACAAACCAATCGCAATAATATTCTGCGCATGATATTTCAAGAAAGAAATAACTCGCAATCTCATTTTTCAAATTGCATTTTTTTGTCAAATGTAATAAAAACCTTCTATTTTATATCTATTTACAGAGCTGTATATCAAACATAAATAATCAAAGTTAATTATTACCTATTTTCAGCGCTATAAAATATACTCTCTTTTAACAAAAGTCGCGAAAGATAGAGAATAAATCTGACACATTAACATTTCTCGCGATTTTTTATATTCCCTCTCAATTCTCTGAAATTTTATTCATCTTATATTTTTATACGTTCATTTATCTACATTCGCAATATTATTTTTGATTTAATTAATTTGTCGTTTATTTAATTCATATTATTTTTGCATTCGCATAGAGTTACACTCGTTGCAAGGGATGGAGTTCCTGGAGGGTTTCGGCAAGAAGAAACAACAGCCCCACCAACAATTGAATAATCTGTCATCGATACACATCAATCCTCTCTCGGCTCAATCCCTCAACATACACTTGCATGGTATTTTGTTTTCTCATTTGTCAATTGTTTTATTTTTCATTTTCCATTTACTCAAATGCCTCTTCATTCTCGCCAAAAACACTTGTTTTGTCATATCAAATTTATACGTGCAACAAAGAATTAAAATCGTTATCGCTTTCTTATTTTCAGCTCTATTTGCGGCTGTGGAACATGGCCACTTGGATAAAGCGAGGAGTATTTTGGAATCTACTGATGTGGATGTAAATAGGTAAGTGTTATCAGTAATTTTTATTCAAAATAATTGTTATTTCTCTTTAAAAAGTGAAAGAAAGAAAAGCTGATCATTATTGCCGCAAGCTACACGATTTTATCTGACATTTATAAAAATACATATTTAATTGTACGTTATTAAATAATCCAGATATATAAATTAAAGTCGTGAAAATAATAAAAAAAAATTCTTTATTTAAAATAATTAATTAAATGCTTCTTTATATTTCGTGTGAAAGTTTAAAGACTCGTAAGGTATCTCGCGGTAGTCCAAAAGAATTCAACCGATCTTGTTTGTTCTCGAAAAAGCACACGCGCGACTTAGAAGCCATTCACTTCGAGAGCACGTTTCTTCGAGGAGTTTTAATCGAATATATACAGGCTAAAAGTTTCAAAGCGCACAAAACGGTCAATCGCGCCATTAGAAATTGTTCAACTAGAACAGAACTAACATTTTGATTCGACTCGACGTGAATCTTAGTTGATTCCAAAAGATCTGGGTCATCTTGCATGTGAATTGTAAACGACGATGTAAAAAAATATAATTATCGCGTTTATGTCATTCCTTCGTGCATATTTAGTAATCAGTATGTTCAAAGGAAATTCAACGAGGAAGAGAAAATCATTATAGGATCTTATGATGAATAAAACAACAATTTCCTTTTGCTTTTTAATTATTTCTCACAACGCGCATAATTATTTTTCTGTCGTTTCTGAAAGCCGCGAGGCAGCTTTTATATTAGGCTAATTCGGTTTTCAAACTGAAGCACGTTAATTGCATCGCGTTATTCTTCGTGAGTGAAAATGTGACGCAAATTAGCAAGAATATCTTTAAATTGAATACACGACGCGTGCTTCCCGTTGCGCTTCAATGCTTTTAAAAGTTTTTCAGAACTGTGCGTAATAATGCGGAAAATTGTCGTTCACTTCCATTTCCCGCGAATTGTCAGTGATTTATGTCGCTTTTACGGTATATAATATTTTATATATTAAATATACATTTATATTATATATACATAGCGTATAAGTTTCTGATGCCTTTCACGATAAATGAATTATTAAAGCACTGACTAATATTCCGCTGCCAACTCTAATGACTGTTTTTAACACGTAATCATAGGGAAATTCCTACAAAATTAAAATAATCAATGCATAACAAAAACGTTATACAAGTTACTCAATACGCGTGGTAACTATAATACAACTACAGACTGTAAATTTTCGTTAAAAACACGAGTAAGTAATTTATTACGGAAAATTCATTTTATCATTCTATTTTATATCGTTAACACATTTATTTGATGTTCCCTTTTACGCATCCAAGTGATTCGAAGTAGACGAGAGAGTAATTAAATGTTTTAGAGTGAAATCTCATTAATCCTACGATTTTCCTCTTGGCCAAAGCGAATATTTTCCATTTGAATGGAGGGAACGAGATAGCGAGGTAAATCGCTAAATAAAATATATAGGGTGAAAAGGCAGGATGCCATGACATCGATTTATAATTCAGGAAGAGAGGAAGCTCACGCTTTCACGTGTGTTTTATTCTTTATCGACCTCTCCTAGCGCCTCATAAACGTTACCAAAAGTTTCATAAAGCTTTTATTCTACGGAAATCTCTCCTTAATCTGATATAGAGTAGAAATCACACCACACTACTTTTCAATTTTATTTTTGAGATCGGGTTTTCCGTAAATAGAGCGTGAAGCAAAGTTGAAATAGAGTTACACGTTTAATATTATATATAAGTATAATACAATACACGCGCTTTAGATAAAATGTTTAAGATAAGTTACTTAAGATATAAAAAAAATGTAAAAAAAGATACAGTATAAACTTGAAATTCTCTCGCCATAAATCTTTTAATGAAGTTTGTTCTAAGAAATTTAAAGACGAGTCTTCACAGAAAAAATTAGCTACCACAGCTAAATTTTAGCTGTCCATATATTACACATGAAATTTAGTTATCGTATCTAAATTTTAACTATGACAGCTAATATTTTAATTATGGCTAAAAATATTAATTACCATAAATAAAATTTAGGCATAATAACTAAATTATAATATATGGACAGAAATTGAGCTATGGTAGCTGATTCTTTTTTTCCGTATTGCTATTATTTTTTAGCACGTATTTACAATTTCATCATTTGCAGCGTTAATAGCGACGGCTTGTCACCGCTGGATGTTGCAGTACTTAGCAACAATCGACCGCTGGCAAAAATGCTGGTTGCATTCGGCGCGCAGGAAGGAAATCAATGTAAGTCCGATCGAATCCAATTACAAACACGCCGCGTAACGCGAACTTCGTCACGAACGACGCTCGTGACGAAATCCCGTTGATCCGAAAAATCGCTTTTCCGCTTTCCCGCGAAATGGTTTGTGCCTTTACCATGCGGGAAAAAAAGGATCCAAAGAAAATCATCGGGCCGAGGGAGAGATTCCAATTACGATTCCCTAGTCTCTAATAAAAATGCCGTCGAGCTTTATTACGTCGCGATGAATAAAAATAAAGAACAAGATGTGTAAAAAAAAAGACAAAAACTGAATGCAGCACTTTTTCCATTACGTTTTTTTAATAACGTTTCTCTTTGTCCGATACATATCGGAGCCCAGCGTAATTACGATAAAACGTCGACGTTTTAAAATTATAAAATCTGTGGCATCTAAACATCTTTCGACGCTCTTTGTGTGCTTCATTAAATCAGATGTACAAACTGTAAATGCGAAGATTACAGTCTATAAATAAAAAAAATATACGCTTTTATCGGATATTCCGCGCTTTCTCAAAAAAACCGCACGATAAATCCCAAACCTCTTTCATTAGTTTCTATATCAATTGCTACGATGAAATTCTTGTGATGTTTTCAAATAATTAAGTCCGCAGACCTCGTTAGAATTAAATATTCGAAAATACATATATCCTAAAAATAATCTATCGCATCGTGAGCATTACTCAGTTTTCGTTTATTTTTTTTAAGAAAAGGGATAAAAAAGGTTGAACAAAAATCTTTATAAATAAGACTATCTCAAATGAAACAGGAAATCTCACGTTATTAAATCAGCAACTTGATCTTGATTTGAGTCTTCGCGAAAGTTCCGTGCGTCTTAATTTGTCCCGTTACGCTCGTTAGCGTTTCAGCGCGATGACGCATCATTAGCAAACCGAGTCCTCCCTTCGGAAATGAAATATGAAGTGGAAAGAAGAATACTTCTTCCAAACTAATTTCAAAGATAATTTCTGCGATGACCTCTAGCAAATCGGAAGAAGTTAAGATATTCAACTCGGTCAACGCTTAATGCGCACGAATACAAGGACTTGATGAATACATTACTCTAAAAGTAAAGTGATGCAATTTCTGCGCGTCTCTCTTTGATGAATTTCTGCACTATCTGCTTTATGCCGAAAAGTAATTACAGTCGTAACTAGACTCCCAATTAATCGCGACAAAATCGTACAATCGTGCAAAGAGATCGCGCACAAGATATACTACAGCGATCGATTGATGTGACGGCAAATATTTTAATTAACGTAATAATTGTGTGCAGATATACGCCGACGATAATAAACTCGACTTTAGCAACTTTAACTAGCGATAATATCGTTCACGAAAACGTGACAAACTCGATTCAAATATCTCTATAAAATCAGGATTCAAGATTCATTAGGAAGATAGAGATTCAAGATTTATCAGGAAGATTGAGATTTTTGCTCTAAAAAATACTGATAATTCATTAATTTTGAAATATATGTAAATTTGATCGACCGACTATTTATTGTTACAGTGTAATATTTTTATCAATATATTTTTATACACAAAGAGAATTTTCTCTTAGAATTTACCGTGAAAATCATGGTACAATATAATATTGGAAGAGTTTTATAAGAGTTTTTCTGATATATTTACCATGAGAAAAAATATTAATGGCTATCATAATAAGATATAAAAAATGTTTAATTAATTTTATTATGTACATTAATATTTTTGTAATAAATATTAATCAGAAAAACTCATAAAATTCTTCTAATATCATATTGTAACCATGATTTTCACGATAAATTCTAAGAGAATTCTCTTAGAAAATATGTATATATACATATATTGTATTTTTTATATTAATATGTTTTTATACACGAAGAGAATTTGTACATATATATTATATCGTTTAATTATTATAAAAATACATACTATGTTGTTCCACAATTACTATGATTTTCAAGGTGCTAAGAGAAAATTCTCTCTGTGTATACATTTTATCTTTTTATTGATACAGTCAAGTCCCCGGAATCTCTGGGAACTCACTTGGCGTCATTGCTCTCGGAAGCGGAACACAGAGTTCAAGAACTCGGTGGCAGTACTTCCGGCAGCAGTGCAACCACTTTGCTGGAACCACCTAGCATCCATAGGGCCAGTTTCTCCACGCAACATAACAACCTCACGGGATGCAGCGGTAGCACGGAAGATAAACAACTTGCCCTATGGGAAAGAAGAGCCAGAGCCCTCAGAAAAATGTTGCTGGGCTTCGATCAAGCGCGTAAGTTTAATATATTTCATTTAAATCCGTAGAAAATATTGCCTCTGCAAATGAAACATTTGTAAGAAATATCTTTGCTCCAGCTATTTATTTAATACGATATAATGTTGTGTGATTTCGATATTTTAGGACCACCTGACATGCCATTCTTAGTCGCTGTCGATGTTACTGGAACGACGTCGGTAGCAATTAGATTTCAAGAACCAGACTCGCACGATTCTCCGATCTGCACCAAGTTTAAGGTTCAATGGAGTTTGCACGATGACTTTTCCGTGATTTGCGGCGAGAGAGAGGTTTTGGACATGAAGCAAAGAGAATGTCGTATCGAGGATCTAACTCAAGGTCAAAAATATTATTTCCGCGCTGCCGCGGGAAATTTAAAGGGCTACAGCAGATTTAGGAATTCGACACCTGCGCATGTCACCCCTAGCAGTAAGTATCGTAAAACTATTTATTATTACAGACATTGTATAAATATAATAACAGGGTGTCCAGCAGACTCAATGAAAAAAATTCCCTGACTTTTTCAGATTTTCCAAGACCAGAAATTCATTTTTTCCCTGATTTTTTAGTACTATTATTTCCAAATATATAATTTGCATATATCTATATGATAAATCAATTAAATGTTAAATCATGAAATTCTTGAGATATTGCATATATCTATATGATAAATCAATTAAATGTTAAATCATAAAATCCTTGAGATATTTTTGTCAACAATAAAAAGGTTTGGAAGTTGAAACAAAAATTTAAATCAATTATACAATCTGCATTATGTACGATAATTTTTTAGTTTTGTCTCTATCAAACACATTGAAATAAAATAACACGACGATAAAAATATAAATTAACGAACACACTGTAGATAAATCGATTTTTAACAAAACAAAAAATTAGCTTGCTGGGAGTCAAGAAAAAGTTTATATTTATTTAATAAAAAATTTCCAATTATTGAGACAAATGTATAATAATGTGAAAAAATCCAGATAAATAGTAAAATTCTCTGACTTTTCCCTCATAATTCCAGATTTATAAAATTCCGTGACTGCTAGACACCCTGAATTTGATCATGATTTCTTAAAAAACAAATAAATTCGAACACTTAATTTTACAAATAATTGTGACGACTCTTAAAGGTTGGAGGGATATAGATGGCAGAGTACCGAGGTTCGCGGGACGATTAGAGCAATTAAATACATTGTTCACCGATATAAGACGACCGGAGTATACGCAAGAGACGCCGGCGGTTCAGAGGCGAAATCACAAAAGAAAACGGCGATAAAACAACTCTTCACGGCGACAAGTAAATTTCAGAAGAACCTCAGGCGAGGAGTATTTCTCGCGTGTCTACTCTATCACGAAGACAAAGTCCTCGTTACGAACGAGGACTTCTTACCCGTAATCGAGATCGACGAGACCTATCCTAGTTGCATTTACAATGATTTTCACTGGCTCATGAAAGTCGCCTGTACCTGGGACGACGTTAAATCCCTCCGACAAGATATGGAAAAGAGTCATAGTAGTTCGACGAACCACTTTAGGATAAAATCACTTCAAGCTGCTGCTCAGATGCAGGTAGATTATTAATATTATTAAAATGCATTAATTATTCGATCATAAAATATAGAAGTTTAGAATCAATATTGAAATAGAAAAGCTCTGGATATTAAATATTACAAGTGGTAGCGAGTAAGCTCAAACCATCTTTAATAAATAATAATTGAATTAATCGCATAATGAATTAAATTATACTATTTACTGAAGATGATTTAAAGTTAAGATAAAAAACAAAATGAATTATATTTTAACAAGAAAACAAAATTTGCGTCCTTGTCGTGCTAAACTCTTAATTAGCTCTTTTACTTATAACATTTTATAATATGCGATATATGTTGTAGGCTGCATTATGCATACAAGATCTCGGGCAGTTATATCACAAACCTATCAGAGATATTCAAGGCACTTTGGTATTTTCGACGGTGAATTACATAAAATCACCAAAATTGGTCTCCGTGCTAAATAGCAGATGGTTGCCGCTCAGCAAAGTCATAAAGAAAGTCATAACGCACGAAGATAGTAACGTCGCCGATATCTTAATGGCCAGTATACAAGAGCAAATGACATATCATCAAGTCAGCAGTATAAAATTGTCCAAAGGTTTATACCTCGGTTATCTGAAAATGCAGAGCAGCGTGGACCTCATACAGGTCGTTGTCCCGACAAAATTCCCAAATGTGTTGCCGCACTGCAAGATTCGCGATAATCCGCACGTATCCGCGTAAGTACACCCTCGCGTATAAACGAAAAATATTACTATTACAATTCCGATTCGCAATTCTTGTATTTTCCTATCTTCCTTAAGGGACGAGTGGGACTATCTGAAGAGAGTAACGCACATCTGCACGTCCGAGTCTTCCGTAAAGGAGTCCGAGGAGAAGGAGAACGTGACGAACGAGGCTCAGGGCACGGAACAGCAGAAGCTGTTCGTCGATCTGGTCGCCGCGACGGTACGACGACTGTTCAATTACATGGAGATCGGTCCGGAGGATCTGCTGGTGCACCGACTCTACGACGCCGAAGTAATCGATCTCACACCTGACGTATCATTTCTCATCACGGTTCCGCCGGCTGAAACCGCTTGCTGTGTGCCTGGGACCCGAGAGATCCTCCTACAACGCGGCGATCTCCTGTCGTTGCCCATTCAGGTCTTCGAGATGGTGCACCTGAACACGTATCAGAAAGACGTGATCAACCGTTACTCGAGGCTTAGCTGCATCTTGGAACTTGACACCGCACAGGCCCAGCATAATCACAGAGAGGCCTTCAGCTCGTTAGAGTTAAGCGTCGCGAAAGACAAACTCGCGAGGCTGCAAGATCTCCAGTCGCAAATGAATACGGTATGGAAAGGCGCCAGATGGCTGATCGACGTTATAACTTTCGCGAGAGATCGCGGTTCTTCTCAACAAAACGTAATTATCAATATTTCTCGTAACATATTTACATATTTCCTAAATTTCTTTAATTATCCGTCATCATTAATATTGCTTTACATTTTTCCCCGCAGATCGCATCACAAACAATTGGTATATCTATGAAACATCTGCTCAGCCTGGACAGAAATAAGAACAACACTAGCAACAACAACAGTTTAAAACGAAGCCTACTGCAATTGCCGCCTAGAGATCCTAAGCTCGTTAAATCGAGCCCCGGACGAGGAAGCTGGCCGGGACCGAATCTCTCCAATTCGTCTTCAAATCTTCTCACGACGGAATTCAGCAAGAGCGAGCAACAGCTGCCCAGCGGACAGTACATACGTAAGGGTAGCAACACTTCAAACGCGTCGACGACCTCGGAGCCGCAGAAATCGTCGTGCGCGCCTATGAGCAGCAACAGCAACCTGAGTAATCTGACCGCGAGCAGCGCGAATCATCATCTGATGCCGCTGCCGAATACGCGATTACCGCCCTCCAAATCCGAGGACACCCTCATTCTGGCCCAGTACAAGCACAGCCCGCGAAATCGCTCCGCCACGATAACCTCCGCGTCAGCCAGCACTAGTCCGCTGATGAGCATCAAACCTATCATTTATGGGGGCTCAATGTTGAGCGTCTCTACGGCAATGACGAACACCACGAGTCTACTCAGCGTCTCTGTGAGCAACACCAATTCCGACAGTCTACATTCGTTGAGCAGCGAGGACAACTCTGCGACGAATTTGAGCGTATGCTTGAAACCTGGGCTGCCGGTCAAAGTTAAAACGTCTAAACCGACCGCGAGTGTCGCGGCGATGGCCGCCGTTCCGCAGGATAATCTAGACGAGGAGAAAGACGAGGCGACGATGATGCCGGCACCTCTGCCAGGCATTCTTCAAGTAAGTTCTTTTTTATTTTTTTTTTTCTTATATATCTTATGCTGCAGATCAAAGATTCGTATGAATGTATTTAGCATATACGGTAGATGCGACCTTTAATTTTCAGCAACATTTATATTTCTCTGCAGACTTCGTGCGATATGCAATTTTTAAATGATATTTCTCCTTCCTCTAGGGAACACAAGTCTAACCCGATTATAATTAAAAACAGCTCTTGGTCCTCTAGTGCAAACCGATGTAGCGGACATATTGAGTAAGACGAAAATTTCAACGCTTGCTCTGTTCGGTTATGCTTAAATATTATGCTTAGTGTGCCAAAATCAGTACGGCATGAAGGACTTATTATACTTGTTGTTTTTATACTTTTTGATAGCTACTTTAAAGATCAATTATGTCTGTATGTAGTGTGTTGTAACGGTATAACGCGTAAAAGAATTTTGCATAAAAATACGACTCGTATATTAAGAATATACATAATTTTCTATGTCATATCGTGTTGTATATAATTATTGTTACAGCTTGAATTATATATACAGCATTTTTTTAAATATGCATCTAAACACAAGGTGTGTCCAAGATTAAAAAATTGAATGAGTAAAAAAATACCAACTTTATGAAAAAGATATTTAACAAATTTTGAATATTTATCAAAATTTGAATACTTTTTCATAGCGTTTGTATATATTTTTCACTCATTTAGTATCGAAATCTTTCAGACACACTATTATCATATATTATATACATATATTGATATAATATTTAGATAAGATTTTAGTCAAAGTGTTTTACTGTTTACATAATCTAAATTACGAATGCATTTACAGATTCTATCTACTTTTTATTCGGGATTGTTGCATCTGTCAATTAATTCTTTTTCTCTATCATGTCAACTTAGATATCATTGAAAAAAAAATACAAAAGAAATTGCATCTTGTATTGTTACATTACAGGTTTACGCGGCCTACGAGACTGGTTTAGCAGCTGGTACCAGTTTAAAACTACACGTAACACCAAGGACCACGGCACGAGAAGTTGTGGAACTTGTTGTTAAACAATTGAACATGGCGGTGGTTCTAAAAGGTCAAAGTGGACCTACTTATACGATTGACGAGCTACCAAATTTTTGCTTAGTTGCCGTAATCGGTGCACGGGAGCGATGCTTACGAGACGATTTCAAGCCACTTCAGTTGCAAAACCCATGGAAGAAAGGACGACTATACGTTAGACAAAAACAGGACGTTCTCGCTGCTCTTGAGCACAGTAGTAAGCATACCGCGTACTTATAGCACAAATAAAGCGTTATCTATAAGTGAGAAGAGAGAGAAAAGGGAGTAATGATCTATATTATACCTATTATTGTAAATTAAATTTCGATACATTCAACACGCGTGCATAAACTCGTGTATGACGTTCCTCGATAATGATTATAAACGGAATATTTCACATAAAGCAACTTACGTCGTACATCTTCAACGGCACTACTGATAAGAAAAAAATATTTCAATAACTAACGGCTATTAAAAAAAAAGTATTTAATCACATAATGTTCCCCATAAGCCGCGAGAAATATTTTCTTTCAATTTTTCTTCCAATTTATGAATGATTTATTTACACTCTAATACGTATAACTGAATTATTTTATGTGAAAAAAATCATATATTTACAAAATTATTTTATTCACATGAAATACAAAGAATTATTGAAGATATTTAAAAAAAGTGATATTAGCAGCGATAGATCTAACAAGCTTCTTAAAGATTGCTTCTTAAGATATATCTCGACTTTCTCTTTATTATTTTTAAGAAATATTTTTTCGAAAAAATATTCTGATTTCTTTTGTCGATTATTTTTTGGTAAAAATAGATAATACTGTTAAAAATAGATTTGTTAAATAATTATTGGAACGTTAAAAACACAAAAAAATATAATTGAATATAACATGAAATGTAGCAACAAGTAATGTAGGAGTAACTTGAAAGGATCGTCACGAGTGTGATAAACATTTCTCTGATCAATGAAATAGGAGTCTATCCTATTTTAGGCGACGTGTATACATTCCGATTTTGGAATTCGTAAATTTTCAAACACGATCTGTAATATTCTTCGAATGTTAGCTAGTTTGTAAAGGAATGAATTATACTCGAGACATACTGTTATATTTTCTGTACCGATCTCAATGTTTTATTCGATATATACGGATATTGTCAAGAGTATACGCAGAGTATAAGCTGGTTGAGAGATCTCATTGTTCCTTATATCGTAGTTCGTTGTATCTAAGTACGATTCGTTGTTAAATATCGAAGAAGGGCCTTTTGGCGCAAAGAAAATGCAATAGGATTAAAAAGTATTTGGATACTTTGAATCAATAAGGATGACTAACTTTTTGAAGTCAGAAAGAGTGAAAGTTTTATATTTATACTATTAAAGTTATATATGAAATATGCCTCTAAAAAAATATATTTTAGGTTCTAATATATGACAAAGTGTTATTATGATATATTATATTTTCTTCTTATGATTAGATTCGGTGTGTTACCAGGCTCTAACAAAAAAAAATAAAATAAAATAAAATCAAAATTTAACATATATACGATAGGCAATAAGAGCCAAATCGCGGATGACAGTGCGTTATTCTAAACGAAACTAAATTTTTTCGTTAGAATTAAATACCTGTGCACAAGGCACCAAATTTTTACTTGGACACGGCCTTCTGCGACTTTCGGATCTATATTTTTCTCTCGCACTTTATTTCTTTAGGGGGAATAGGGGATACATGGAATCAAAAATCTCTTGTAGAGATTATTCCAATTTTATATCTTGGCCGTGTCCAAGTAAAAATTTGGTGCCTTGTGCACAGGTATTTAATTCTAACGAAAAAATTTAGTTTCGTTTAGAATAACGCACTGTCATCCGCGATTTGGCTCTTATTGCCTATCGTATATATGTTAAATTTATATTTATATTACAGAGCCTAGTTAAACTCTTAAAATAAAATCATTTTAAGTGTGTTTTCGATGTATGGCATACAATTTGGCGTAATATTTTTTTACAATATTCAAGATAGCATAATATGAAAGTTCCTAAAGTCTGGTAACATCGTCTTAAGATGATTCTTACAATTAGAGAGAAACATATATATTTTAAAAAATCTGAAATTAATTTTTCAAGAGAAAACGCCGATATATTATGTTGAAAAAAATAATTGTAAAAGAAATATTATATATAAAAGAGAAAAAAAGAGATAAAAAAATTAGTGTAAGATTTTAGTTAAAAAATATTTCGAGAATCTAAAAAGTGGCAAGTAAAATATCAACCAGTTTTATAGTTAGTTATTAGTATAGTTAAGATGAAGAGGCTTATAGACTGTTGTATATAATAGAACAAAAAGTATTATTATTAATACTGCTATTATTTTATAGATAATAAAACATTTTTTTATATTTTTTTATTTTAGTTTACAACTTTTGTTTTACTAAACACTATAGCATATATGTTTTTCATTTCGTTTTAGTTACATTCTGCATCTAATTGTAAATGTACATCTGTTTTAGCATAACAAAATCATATAAAGAAAATTTCAACCGACCTGGGCAGATCTATCAGATTTATCTTGAAGAGTTCATATAAGAAAAAAAACATTTAATCAAAAGAAGAAATTCTCTATTATATTTAATATTATATAAAAGATAAAATTTAGTAAAAAAAATCTTGAAAAATTATAACAGACACGTCGCCTGACATGTGTATACGTAAAAAAATAAATATCTAATTGAGAGAAACGGCAAAGTACGATAGTCCGACGTGTATATTAACTAATCGAATAATAACTACCATAGTGTAATTTGCGCTGAATATACATATATCCCTTCTTCCCCAAAATCGCACAATATTACTGCACAATATTATACTATATGCGACAAACTTCTTCAATGTCTCGTGACCGCATTACACATTTCGTATTAAATCAAACGAATAACAAGATTATTAGTGTCGTATATATATATATATATATATATACATATATATATTCATATAGAGTTATTCGTATAGATTCTCTTTCTCTCTCTTTTTTAAAGAAGAAAGAGAGAGAGAGAAAGAGACAAAAAATATATTTAAAAATTAACTATTTGGATAGAGTGAAAAATTATCATAATTTGGAGATGCACAGCAGCGTGTCAAATGTAAATTCATATCTCTTATTTCGCTTGCGCCTGCATAATATCGATCTGTCAAGCGAAGAACTTTATTCCATGTCTGTACAGATGTCTATCGTGAAATCCGTCCTTCACGTCGCAGATTCGATATATGTATATATTTGGCTGTATATTCGAGAATTTGCTCGAATTATCATGCTTATTGAGCAGTAGTATCGTGCACCAAAGGGCCACTTGCATTTAATGAAGATGCATGGTGCACAATATTTTTTTATCGACAAAGTGACAAAGAATCGACAAATTGTTAGGGACAGAGTGTGTCGGAGCTGTTTACATGGGTAAGTCTGTGCATCGCTAAGATTGTTGAAAACTAATGTTATAAGCTGAGAAAAAAGAAAGGGATATCTCTTTCTCTGATGGCAGATATAATGATGGAATTAAGTGATCTTTGTATTCTAATCTATATTAAGCCGATTGATCCCTATAAAAAAGCCAGAACGTAATTCGAGCGGTACATCGATAAAACCATGTAACCAACTGTGTTTATTTTTCCCTACTAGTATGTATTTTTGCCTAGAAACACACGCTCATTTTTGTCCGGTCGAGAAAATAATAGAAATTTTATTAGCACTATGTGAGTGTCTATCAATGTTGAGTGTAAAATAACCGTTAGCATATAAGTATTACGATGAGATGAGAGAGTAAGAGATGCGCCGAGCCAATAAAGAAGCAAAGATGAATGAAATATTTGTAAATATTCCGAGAAAAAGAGAGTGACTGCGCAAAGGAAACAAATTATAGAGAGATTATTTTGGACGAGAGAGAATACACGAAAATCTCTCGATTCCACGCAGTTCACTCATCGCGATTTATGATAGTTGTGCCTACACGATGGCGATATGAATAATTAATTGAAATTCGAACGAAAACAATTCTCCCTCCCTCCCTCCTGTCCTATTTGCTTCCCCTCCAATCTTCGTCCCATCCACCTCTCTGGTACTCAGAAATAAAATTTTTGTACGCGATGTCACTTTAATGTGCAATTTGTGATGTACGCGTACGCGAGTAATTATGTACAGTAGCGAATTGATGTTTGTATAGAAAAAAATGGCTTTGTTTCTGTTGCGACTGGATTTTCCCCCCTTTTTTTGTAGGGGACAATGTACCACGACGAAAGCGCCCGAAATAAAGTATAACATTGTACTTGTCTTGATCAAGATTTATTCATCATGTCCTAGCGATGTATCGTTTAAAAGATTTTATTTTATTTTTCGACATTTTCTAACTGTTTATCTCAACTATTCATATAGATTATTACGTTATATATCGTATAACTATGAAAAGAATTATAATTTTATATCTTTTACATCTGTAATTGATGAATTAATATGATTCGTTAATTTTTCTTTTGAAAAATCTTGATGTAAATCAATGATATATATATAATCTTTGAAATACATATAATTTAAAAAGTAATAAACCATTTAACGTGCAATTTCTTTCACACTAATTTCTTTTGAATTTTATTGCCTCCTACCGATTCTTATCTTTGTCTGGGACAACTTGTATCCAGTTCTACCCAACATCATCACCTCCGGCAAATCAAACGAGTACAAACGAGCCGAGAACCCGGACCCTCGACGACCGATAGTCCCGCTGACCCACTTCCGTCTTGTTTCTCGTCTTGTCGAGAAAACCTACCACCTACTCTTTATTTATCCCCCACTCTACAAGATACAGTCCTACAGTCTGTTCTTCCGGCGAATGCAGTTTCCGCCAAGTAAACAAACGGCTGTAGTTCAACGTCATAAAAATGGTACAAAAAATCAATCTAATCATAAAATGATGCCATAAGATGGCATAGAAGAGATCGCATAAATCATCGTAAAACAAGAGAAAGTTTCGACAAGCCAAACCATTGACTATAGTTGTTTATTACGTGGTTGAGATAATAATTGATAATTGACTCGACAGTAGCAATTTTATGCTAATTGCGCGTAAACAGTTCTATTGTAAAACAAACTAAATAAAATTTAATAGAGTCTGCGCGCTAATCTTTTTATCAGAAATCAAATATCCGTAATAAAGAGAGAGGCTGAAAAATAAATTTCTTTTAAATTATTTTCATTATTTTTTTTACTACATTTTATTATTAAATTTAATTATTTTAGTATTTAATATAACTTTTATTTAAATTTTATTTTATATTAATAATAAATAAATAGTATTTAAATACTATTTTAGTATTTTTTTGACTAAAAAAACTGATGCTACGCCATTGCGGAAGTACAAATTTAACCCTATCGCGGATGTATAGCGTACGTATACAGTTAATACTCATTGTCACGAAAACACGGACACCGAGAGCGCGAACGAACACGATTGGCTGACTCGCAGTCCGGATTCGCCTTCGGCTGACCCCGTTGTTGACTGACCCACTGGCGAGATACTGATAGCGCAAGACGGTCGGTCAACGTCGAGTCGATTCGCTTTGACATTTAATTGCACAGCGTCACGAACGAAAGAAAGGCGCCTCACATCACGAATGATAACGGTATATTTCGGTTCATCGATTACGTCTCTCTCGCAACAATTGCGGCTTCAATCTTTTTCAGATTTCAAATGCACCGAACGAACTTGCCAAAGAACGATCGACACCCGGAGAGTCGATCGGTTAAACGCGTTGCACTTCTGGCGCTGTACGGAAATTTGCAATACAAATTCCATTAATAGCAATTTTGACGCAACAAGTCGGGTCCACGGTGGAATATTCAACGAGCGCGACCAACGAGTATCAATCAAATTATTACGCCAAATTATGACTTGTTTCGCGTGACGGTCGTATAGGAGCAGCTTATCGATATAGAATGTTCTACGAAATATTTCGTACGTTCTAATTGCACGTAAAAGTAGACGTACAGATTTTTATTAGATACTTTACATATACGTAAACTGCCATTTTTTAAGCAGAAAAATTAAGACTTGAAGATCCGTATTTGATCACAGAAAAAAGGAGTCCTTGATTCAAGTATATTTTTATTCTTGAACGCTATTTGATTCATTTAAGCATAGAATGCTTTTTGTAATCACAAATATTCATTTGTATTAATAATAAATAAGTTTGTGTAAAGTATATTTTATCCTTAACATATATTCTTGTTTTAAAAATCGTTAAGTATATAATAAAAACAAACTTAGTCACATTTGATCTAAGAATTATATACTTGAAAGTATCGCTTACATCCAATGCTCACTTGCCCTTGCAATACTTATAAGTAAATTTCAGCTTCAACCAAGAATATTTTGCACTTTGTTTTAAGGATAAATTATCCTTTTTCAAGGATACTATTTTTTCTGTGATATATCGCGTAAATCCCGCGCATTCTCCGGCGCCGCGAAGCCCAGAAACAACATGTCGCGTCTCTCTCTTCCCGTAGAATCGAAGCCGCTGACCGACTCGATTTTAGACGGATCTCTTGAACGCGCGCACGTGTATATGTGTGCAGCAGCCGCATTGCGAAAGAATTATGCGGGGCACAAGGTCCGGTCGGCCGCTCGCCGTTCCAATTTTTACCAATCGAAGGTTACGTATATCGCAGTTGAGTTTCTGTCATACGCACACTGCAAGGCACACTCTCCTTTCTGCTCTTTCCCCCTGTCCCCCTCTTTTCTCTCTCTCTCTCTCTCTCTTTCTCTCCCCATGACTCTTTTGCCCTCTTTCATTCGCCCTCTTTCACATGGAGTTCATGATTGTGAGTCATAGCAGTTCATAAAAATTAAAATCGAAGACGAAGAACGAGACTTCGATGCGCAAATGTTCTATCTCGCGGATTTTTAATAAAAAGAAAAATAATAAATATATTACCTTGAGACTTTTGTAAAGAAAAGGTAGATTATTCAATTTTATATTTAATTCGATGTTATAAAATCATCATTGATACGTCATCTTCATTCGCCCTCTTTCACACGAAGTTCATGATTGTGAGTCACAGCAGTTCATAAAAATTATCGAAGATGAGGAGCGAGATTTCAATGCGCAAATGTTCTACCTCGCGGATTTTTAATAAAAAGAAAAATAATAAATATACTACCTTGAGACTTTTGTAAAGAAAAGGTAGATTAATCTATTTTATATTTAATTCGATGTTATAAAATCATCATTGATACGTCATCTTCATTCGCCCTCTTTCACACGAAGTTCATGATTGTGAGTCACAGCAGTTCATAAAAATTATCGAAGATGAGGAGCGAGATTTCAATGCGCAAATGTTCTACCTCGCGGATTTTTAATAAAAAGAAAAATAATAAATATACTACCTTGAGACTTTTGTAAAGAGAAGGTAGATTAATTCATTTTATATTTAATTCGATGTTATAAAATCATCATTGATACGTCATCTTCATTCGCCCTCTTTCACACAAAGTTCATGATGAGTCACAGCAGTTCATAAAAATTAAAATCAAAGATGAGGAGCGAGATTTCGACGTACAAATGTTCTATCTCGCGGATTTTTAAAAGAAAAATAATAAAAGAAAAATAATAAATACTACCTTGAGACTTTTGTAAAGAGAAGATGGATTAATCTATTTTATATTTAATTCGATGTTACAAAATCATCATTGATACGTCATTCCTGATAATAACTGTAATGACGAGTTTCGCAAGTCACCCGGAATCGATTCGCGAATTGTCTTAATCGCCTTCATCCCCTCCTGCAAACGAGGTGGTAGACGACACGACGTGACGGCGAGGACGACCAAGACGAGGATTTTGACGACGGTGAAGACGCTGACGGCAAACGAGTGGTACAACGCGGAGGAAGAAGAAGAAAAGAGAGACGAGTGTGTTCGGCGAAGCCTACCGACCGGCTATTTGGAACACGGCCGATCAGTTCCTTCGGCGCCGTGGACGCGAACACGCTAAACATCGCCGATTTTGTAAACCCGTGCCTCTCTGTTCTAGTCCAGGCGAAGGAGACCAAGTTGAAGAATCCTGCGAGAAATCACGCGACGCGCCATTTTTTCAAATCGGTACGAGCCCAGAGTCTCAAACTTTGTGAATCTTGCGCAAAAAAAGCGAAGAATATATTTCGCGACACGCGATAGTAGTTCATAAGTTGTGAAAAGTCGGTCGAGTTTTATCGTGTTAAAATAATTTGCCACAATTTTACTAAGTTTTCAGTGACTGACGGTATCGAGAGAATACAAAAAATTGTTTGCGAGAGTTAACATTTCAAAAACATTGTTCAATGTAAATAAATTGTACACATGTGCGTATATAACAAAATTTTAAAATATATATATAAAAAAGGTGTGTAAAGAGAGAAAATAATTATATAGCAGCTGCAAAAACAGCTTCCTTCGTTATTATATAATCCTCGAAAATGTTGTTAAATAAAAGTTAATACACAGAAACACTTAGCTGTTCTCTAAGTATATATAAAATTATCTGTAAAAATATATAGCGCGATTCATTTTATAAACATTATTTACGTGGTAATCTTTTCTTTGTGTTTGACTCATAATGTTCCTTTATAAAATTGACTTTCACGCACCGGACAAGGAAGTTGCAAGGAGTTTCGACTTTTTCCGGTCATCGATAAGAAAACTTGCCATATATGTATATATTTTACTATTAGTATAATTAACCCAGATTTTCCCGGATTTATGGTGAACGGCACGCAGGTCAGTGGCACGCACTGCGCATTATAACAGATTGCTGACATGCCTTCAATTGCGAAGAAGTGGCAAAAAATTGCACAATGTTAGCCAACTATAATTAATATCTGTCACACGTACAATTAATTTTAATGGCCAACGTTATCTATTTCAACATTATCGACAAAATTCAACTATAAAAAAACTTTTGAGCCAATTTAATATATACGAATAATCCTCACGATTTACTCATTTTAATCATCATATCAATTGCGACGTCATGTCCTTATCAACTAAATCATCGGAATTCATTCACGATCGTAAAAAATGAAATGATAATTAATAAAATGCGGTAAAAATTGTTTGTAAATATTAGTAAAAAATGTATTGCACAAATTGTGATTTAATAGACAATTATAAAATTATATATATACTCTCTTCATTAAGGAAAAGATAAATGTATACATAACATAGCACCCAATATCTTTATATTAATCGGTATTTAAAAGAGATGGTTTATGTCCGACATCGGGCAATATTGCGACGATGCTTATAGACGGTTCATAGTTTTATTTGATGCTGTTATTTAACCTGTTATTAAACCACCCTGATCTTTACATTTGCCAGTATATTATTTTCTTAAAGTAAAGGTGATCTATGTAGCATTGAAGTATAATAAATGTAGATAGTAGTTAGCTCGTTATTATAGCCTATAATATAATATATATATATATATATATATATATATATATATATATATATATATTGGAAATTTTATAAAGATTCTTAATAGACCTTTCTGTTGCGAGCAAAATTGCGGTGCAGATTAAATATTAATTAAAATATTAGAAAAATATCGCGAAAAATATGAAAAAGCGCATTAAACGAATATTACACTTGGCAAATTTATATATATTCGCTAATCTCACAGCTCTTCGACATTGTTCTTTTTTAATCCCTATAAATATTATTCCTTCAAGTATACAATCATAACGAGATTATTGTTCATTTAAGGAAGATTTTCGAGACAATAACACGAGAGGATATCAGCAGCGGCACAATGTCAGAGGGTTGCACAAGTTGCAGAGGCGCGAATTATGCGGGCAACACTTTACAATTAGGCACGACTTCTGGTGGCAATACCGGAAGCTCGTCGTCTACTTCCGGTGCGAACAGTACAATCGCAAGAAGAGTCCAAGTTCGCGCAAAAGTGCTTTACGGTACGGGCAAAGCGATAGCGAGCTTGCAAGCTCAAGAGAAAGCGGCCAGACATTGACGAGGTAATTAAATAATCGTAATTTATTTTATGTTAATCTAATATATAATTTACTTCGCCATATTATCTATTAATTTTGTACACACACAAAAATACAAGTTTTTATTATTTAATTTTGTATAAAAAATTATTTCTAGACTTTAATTTGTTATAATATTTTATATTATATATATATATATATATATATATATATATATAAATTATTATAATAAATATTTAGATGAATAAAATTATATTACTAAACTCTGTCGCAATCTGTCAAACATCAGCAGATTAATTACAGGATTAAGGCATAATTATATAACTAAACGGTATAAATTAAGGTACACTGACCGATATAAAATTATTGAACAACGGGCAAATAAAAAAAAAAGAATAATACATTATTCTGCAGAAACTATTAAACTTTGTGGAAATATGATTTGGATGAGAATTATAATTGATATTAAAAATAAACTTGTCAGATCAATCAACAGTTAAAAAACGATCAATCTATAATAAAAAAAACCAATCGATCGATCGACGCACTAATTAGCATCATTTCTTTCGACTTGCTGTATCATCAACGCGATCGTTGTGTTTTTTGCGTATCGCGAGAAAGCGTTTACGATACCGCACAATTATAGGAAGCTCGATCACTCATCTTCCTGCCGCGAGACGATTCAAACAGGACGGACGCGGCCGATCTCCCCGTCACTAGATCAACGACGGACAGTCGAAATAAAGAGAGACGGATAACAGTAAAAATACAAAAAAAAATGATGACACACCGACATCGACGAACAAAAAGCAAAGCCCGAAGGCACCGGCCTTCCTCGCGGATAAGACCAGTCGGTCGATCTGATCGCCGGTTAGTACCTGGTAAACCGTCCTCGAGAAGACCACCACCTCGATTTAAGCACGCGTCTCCACGTATTTTCTCGTTTTCTTATTTTTTGTTGTCGTCGCCGTCTTTCTCCCGTGTTTCTCGATCTTGTTACTCGTCATTTTCGCTTCGCTTTATCTCGCGTATCGCGACAATTTTACGCTGACGAGTATACGCATCGATGAATGTTGTAAGTGCTACCTGGAACGTGTCACCGCGCAAAATGCGCCTTGCAACTTTGTGAGTTATTGATAGATGTTACCGTCTCTTTATTTTTATCCTAATTTTTTTTTTGTACTAAATATTATTGAAACGAGGTTTTATAAATTAAACAACATCTGAATCAAAATTCGCAAAATGTTTTTGAATAATATTTTCCGACAATATTTATAAATATCTTTCACATTTTATGAAATTTAAAATTAAAATATATTAGAGAGAGGATATATGTTTTTATTCAATATTTATTTAATCATTGGTTAAATTGAAGCACATCATGTATCATCATTAAACAATGAAATAAATGTATCTCTTATTTGTTTTATAAATATATTAATATTTATATTTTATGATATATTTATCTAAAAAATATTTATTATCTGTGAAAAAAAAACTTTAGAAAAAATCTTTCTAACAGCACAATAAGGTCAATATAATTTTTTTAGCCCATCGTGCCTTTGCCGTTCTACAATTTGCGATCCCGTTATATTTCTCTCGATCTTTTAACGCCTCGCAGTGCAGCTTCATTTAGTGAATATTTCGATTTATTCGTGGGTCTTTTAATTTTTTCTTTTAATTTAATATATCTCACATTACATCGCGCACTAAGAATAATCAACTGTTCTTTTGTTACATCTAATTGTTTAAGTACTATATAAGCGCTTTAATTAGCTTGCAATAAAGTCAATATCACGAATAAAATACGTAAAATAAATCGTTTGTGTTACTTTTTATTCGATTGGTACTAAAATTTGTGCATGTAGAGCATCATAAATCAAATTATTATTGAAATATTGCGCAAAATTATTTGAATGTTAAAAATGGATAATAACTGAAAACTTATCAGCAAAAAATAAATATTATAAATGTTATTTTTCCAAAACTTTTTTGATACAACACATAATAAGTGATTTTTGCTTTAATTACATTAGCATCATCCTCTCTTCCCTGTCCTACGCATTATCATCAAAGTCGGGGGAAGAAAACGATAAAGCAGGACACCACACCAATAAACAAACGACAAATAACGAAGTGCAAATTTCGGAGCAATTGTTTTTCAAACGAACAAACACTCTGGATAATAAGGTAAATATTTCTGGCTGCAATCTTTCAACCCCAGATAATCAGAAAAGTGCAAATACTTTGTATCCTGGCGCAACTAACTTGAAATATACACAGAAGTTGCTAAAGGAAAAGATAGAAAAGGAAATAGTAAAGGATGCGTTGCAGCAGAGGGATTCCGACAGAATCACGAACATTCGTGCAAAAGAAACGAATCAGACGGGAAATGAAATCCGATATGAATTTTTGAATGCATCGAGTATCTCTGCAAGCTTCACGGTGACGAAACCGGTCGAAAGAGAAAAGAAAAATGAAGACAACAAAGGGATAGAAAATATAAAGATTGATCGAGAAGAAGAACCTTTGGTCGGACCACTGAATAATCTGGATGCCAAAAATAACAACGCAAAAAGTAGCACATCGCGACAAGTAACATTTTACGAAGAACAGAATGACGACGATCGAAAGAGAAATAAAAATTTTAATAAAAGTGGCGACATTTTTTTGGTAACGAAAGAACACTTTAAAAACTCGAACGAGAGTTTGATACGAATAAGCAATGTGATGGCTCAGAATGTTCATCCGAAAGTTGAAAATCAAACTCTCGAAAGTCGCACTGAACAAGAAAACTGGAAAGCAGTAGAAGACGATCTGATGGAAGCTGCGAATTTTGGATTGCAAGCTATGCACAAACTATATTATATTCAAGAACCGAAGTTATATTCGATGGGTAAGTACTGAAAGAAATAAAAAATTGAAAAAATATTTAATTGAATCGCACACATATAGCCACTGTTTTATATTAAATTCATATCTGCACGATAAATTTGATGAGACGAAAATTTAGGTCTTTATCTTGGGCACGATAATCCAGCGAGATATGTGGCGGCATTTAACGATCAATTAAAGGAAGCGAGAGATCTCGCAAAATTCGGATATGCAACTCTTCAAGGTACCGCTATGTTCTTAAAAAAGTAAGTTCTTAAAAAAGTAATGGGTGAAGTAAATTTCCATTAATCTTTAATTAAGAAACTATACGTCTAATACGTGTTTCTGCTCTGTTTGTCTTGTCAGATTTCCCAACGCACCATTAGAATTACCTTTATCCCGAACTAAGTTTACTCGTAGAACTTTGTTGGAACAACAATGCCCACGAAGAGACCCACCTCAATGCCCACCGGCTAGCTTAAGGTACAGAACATCTGACGGTAGTTGTAATAATTTGCAGAATCTCTGGTGGGGTTCCGCAATGTCTACGATGCAAAGGTAAACGATGACATGATAAATAATCTCAAATATCCACGCAGAGTATTTCCCTCAATTATACTACAAAAGTCATTTTGTTGTACTCAGATTTCTACCACCGGAATATCACGACGGCGTTCAAAGCATTAGAAGATCGAAAAATGGAAGACCACTTCCGAGTGCGCGAGAAATCACAAACTTAATTCATGAAAATAAAGATGTACCTTTGGCATCCGTTACTCACATGTTAATGCAATGGGGACAATTCGTAGATCACGATTTGACAGGTACGTATATAATTTATGATTTTTTAGGTATTAAAAACAGATAGAAAAAAATTATATACATACACATATTTATATCTGTGCACTAGGATAAAAAGTTGTTAATTTGACTAAATGCATTCAACTAATTACCATTTTGTTAACTGAATATATATAAATATTTAAATCAAATACGTTATGTTATTTAATTTAATTTAAATACTTCTACATGTTCAATTAATAAAATAATATTTTATATTTGAATTATTTAAAGACGTAATTACATACAATTATATCTCTATTATATATTAATAGCTACCGGTCAAAGCAGAGGATTTAATGGCACAGTCCCGCAATGCTGTTTGCAAAGAGGTGTCGGTTTTCAACCGCCAGAGTTCATGGTAATAAATTAATCAATAGCTATAACTTTTAGTCATATATCGATAGGATATTTATTATAAATATTTTGAAGTTATAATTTATATTGTATTGACGTTTGCGTTATACTCTTCTATATGTTCCGACGTGAACGTTGTCGCACTCAATTGCAAAATTTATAAGCCATAATTTTCGCGCGTCCCACTTTATACTGAAAAAGTTGAAAACTTGATGTATAATATATATCCTACGAGAAAACCACTAAAAGAAAATTTATTTATAATATTTATCGATAGCATCCAGAATGTCTACCGATAGCAGTGAATGTACGCGACAGCTTCTATGGTCCTCTGGGCGTAAGATGTTTAGAATTCCTCAGAAGCGGACCAGCTCCTAGAGAGGATTGCAAATTCGGCCCCCGAGAACAACTCACCCAAGTGACCAGTTACCTCGATGCTTCCACAGTTTATAGTAGTAATGCCGTACATAGTGACAGTCTGAGGATATTCCGAAACGGTAAATTCCTATTTATTTTTCTATTTATTTTTTTATGAGAAATATTCCTCGAAAAAGAAATTATTTGCTTCTCTATTAGAAGAGAGAAAGACTTTCTTTCTTAATTCTTATAATTCTAATAGAGAAGAAAATAACTTCTATTTCACAAGAATATCTATTTCTCATAAAAAAATAAATAGAAATAAATAGAATAAATATTTTACAAGAATCTATTTCTCATAAAAAAATTCTCTTTCTTTAGGCTTGCTGCAATACGGAAGAATTCAATCGCGACGACCTTTGCTTCCAAGACGCGAATCCGATCTATGCAAACGCGGATCTTTGTCGACGACCTGCTTCCGAGCCGGTGACGGACGACTGAGCGAACAGCCTGCTCTTACATCCCTACACATCGTCTTCTTAAGATTGCACAATAGGATAGCTACTGAACTAGCCGCCTTAAACTCCCATTGGAGCGATGAGAAACTTTTTCAAGAAACCCGAAGGATCGTCGGTGCCGTAATTCAACATATAACCTATCGGGAATTCCTGCCGATCGTTCTTGGTAAGAGAACTTTTTTGTTACAGTATATTATTATGTTTACTCGATAACGTTGTAAATATAAGGCTAAAAGAGATCAAGCGTTTTAAAAACACTGTAACGTTTCAGGGCCTCAGGTGATGAAAATTTTTGATTTAGAAGTTCTTAAAAAAGGTTACTACGAAGGATACGATCCGACTATAAATCCTACAGTTGCAAATTCATTTTCTACAGCGGCTTATCGATTTGGACACTCGTTGGTTCAGCAGAGCTTTATTAGATTTGATAGCAATCACAAGCCCATATTTAATAGTAAGTCAAATTAAAATTTCCTCGAATATTATTTAAATTTGACAAAACATAATATATGCAAACTTAATTATTTAACTAGAATCAATAATTTAATTTACAATACGCCATTAAATATAAATTTTAAATAAAGCAAACAAAATTTATGACGTAATTAATGAGCATAAATGTATGAGTAAGATTTATGTTATTTGCTACATCATGATGCATTTAGCTTATAATAATAGTACACGGCGTACTAATTGTGTAATAAATCCTTCCAAACATCGCAAGGAAAATTATTCTTAATCTTCTATATTGTATAACATGACAATTAGTCCTAGAAAAATGAAATTTTTTCAAAGAATATTCAATGCAAAATGAAATAAATAAATATTATCGTAGATGTCTCGATCCACGACGAGTTTATGAATCCAACAAATCTGGAGACGGCAGGATCCGTCGACCGTCTTCTTCTAGGACTAGTGAATCAACCGTGCCAAAGGAGGGACGAATTTATAAGCGCAGAAGTGACGAATCATCTCTTCCAAACCCGTGGCTTCCCATTCGGTATGGATCTGGCCTCTCTGAATATTCAACGAGGCAGAGATCACGGTTTGCCACCTTACGTGCGATGGCGCGAGCCTTGCAGCTTGTCGCCGATAAAAGGCTTCGAGGATCTCGACAGAGTGATGTCGCCGGAAATTGTGAGGAAATTCAGATCGTTATACCCGTCAGTGGAAGACGTCGATCTCTTTTCGGCCGGACTGGCGGAAAGATCGGTGGCCGGCGGCCTGGTCGGTCCAACCTTCGCCTGCATAATCGGCCAGCAGTTCAGTAACCTACGACGCGGCGATCGATTTTGGTACGAGAATGCTGAAAGCGAAAGCAGTTTCACCGCCAGTCAGCTGCAGCAGATTAGACGGATCACTCTGGCCCAAGTGCTGTGCAAAACGATGGACGGCATCGAGACCATACAGCCGTTTGTCTTCCTCGCGACAGATACGTTGAAGAACCAACGTCTCTCCTGCAACGATCCGATTATTGGACAATTAAATCTCGAATTTTGGGCCGAACGACCATCTGAATTTAGAAGCGTCGACGATCCGCAAAAGAGTCAAGTGACCGACAATGGTGATTCGATTTCCAGATCGAAGGAAAACATTAACTCGAGGAAGAAAACCGGCCATCAGCAACCAACGAAGATTGTACCTCAGCAGCCTTTCAAAGAGAGCATTAATCAGGAAAATACAATCGTCCTAAAAAGACCGATTGGACGTCCAGAAAACAACAATGTCACGATCGTGGTCCAGAACAACGCCGTGAACGCGCCTGTTTTCGTGAACGAGGGCATTTACAATTCGCACGTCAAAATACAGCCTGGTCCCAAACCGATTACGAATCCCAATCAACCTGTGAACAATTATCCCCCGTATTTCCGACCGCATGCAAAACCTATACCCACGGCAATTCCTCATGCGGCAAGTAATCCGTATGTTCCCCACGCTTTCGGCGATCCCAGTAATCCAAATCCGCTCGCTTACGGATTCAAATCCCCTGCGTTCGTGCAAGAAGGCATCATCTATGACAATTATTTTCCCACAAGCCCGAGGCCCACTCTCTACACTTATTACACGAATTTTCAGCAGAAAACTACGCAACATTCTACGCAGATTCCCGATCGCGAGATCGACGGTTATTTAATTAATTACGGATCCTCGTATAATAATAAACATGATTCGCATCCGCACGAAAGGCCGAAACCTTCGATCAATTCTGGACATCATTACGCATTGAACGACGAACAGAAACCTAATTATGCTAATTCTAAACCTCCGGTAAACGTGTGGCCGAATTTTCAACCGAATTATGCATCGAATGACGAATCTTATCATACGCGCAAGCCAAGTTACGATGAACATAAACCTTCAACCATACGACCGAATTTCCGACCGAATTATGAGTCAAACAACGAAGCGTATTATGGACAAAAACCATCTATTGTAGATTATAATAAATCTAAACCTTTAGCCAACTTACGACCGGACGATAAATTAGAAAAACCGGTTTATGGTGGATTTGTGCCTCCAGCAAATTTGCGACCAAATTCAAAACCGAATTATCAATTATATGGCGCACAAAAGCCAGGCACTGTCGAAAATTTACAGAATAAACCGAATAATAATTATCAGATCAATCTGAATAAACCGCAACAACAGGAACAATGGAACTCGAATAATTATCATGTGAGACCTGGCGAGAGACCATACGATTACGATGATCCTAATACACATCATAAAAGGCCAAGTGTTAAACCACTAAATTATAACATTAATGACTCTCATCAAACAGCATCGAGTAACGGACCGAATAATGAATATAATTCTCAATTTTCGAACAAAGATTCGTTAAATTCTAACAAGGATTTCTTGCAAGATAGACTGTATGGATTTATTACAAATTCTAGAACAAGTACTCCTCCTTCGTATCAAAAAGATACATTTACAAAATCGAATAATTCAAATAATAATTATAATCGATATTCCAATACGACTTTGAATTATCAAAAGATACCATCATCCACTCAAAGTAATTGGATGGATGTTTCATATTATATAACAGAAAGTAGTACTCGACCTCTTCAAAACGATTATTTTGATTCACATAATTCTCCGTTCAATCAGAAATTGACAAATTATCCGATCCATCAAAAAGACAATCAATCTTCATCGTCTTTTAATTCAAAAGAATCTGTCGATAAATCGCCCGTTCTTTCTACTGTGGATCCATATGAATATGATAATTCTTACAAAAATCCTACGAAATCATCTGATTTAAATGGACAATTATCATCCAGTACTCCATATTGGTTAGAAACTTCAACAAATGATTTTCAAATACATAAAAAAGAGGGAAATCTCAATTCAAAACCAACAAAAATACAAAGCGTAACAATTGTCACTGAAACACTCGAAACTGTCCATCATCCTGGTCATTCCGGATACATATCTTCACATAAAGTTACCACCGAAATTCCGAGGCCGTTGGAACAACAAATAAAAACAAACGCGCCAATTATCAAAAAACCCGGACAATATTATTACGAAAAGAACGTGTTATATCGATATCCGGACGAAATAATTTCCGATCAAATTCCCAAAAGTAATCATTATTCGGTTGGCGAATCTGAGAAAGCATTTGTTCGAGAAAATCGGGAAACAACACCCGAGAATATCGTAATGAAAACATCAATTGTCGATGTGCCCATAACAAAGTCTAAAGTCATTCAAGACAATGAAAGTAAATTGACGACAACACCTATGCTCGTAAACACTGATTATAATAATAACGGAGGGGACATAGTGAGCGATCTTCAACATACTTTCTCGAAAGATATCGAAAGTGTTGCACCAGCTGATATTTCTAATAGGTATTTTTTTATTCTATATACATAAGCAATTCTGCAAAACTGCAAAAATATGTAAAATAATTGTTGTTCCAAAACATTTTACGTAATCGATTATTTAGCCAAGCAATTGAAGCATATACATTGTCAGGAAATATAATTTTGCAATATTTGTTTTGAATTTTCTGTTATAAATTTCTCTCTTTAATAAATGTTTGCAACTGTAAATTTAACAAATTTAACAAAGCAACTAAAATAATTTATTAAAGAGAAGAGATTTTGTAATAAAAAAATAATTAAACTAATATATATGTAATATTTTTAGTACAATTATTTTACACATTTTTATTTTCTACTAAACAGTTTCAAAAAATGTTGAAAAATTTTTTATATTTATTTCAGAGTTTCTAAAATTAAGCTGATTTTCATGTAGTAAACAATTTGCTAAGATAATTTAGTTTTTTTAAGAAATCTGATTTATTTATAGGATGAATCATTGGGCGAATCCTCAAGAAGATCTGAATTTATCGTCGATATCGGAAATGCCCGAAATTCCATCCGATAAATTTGCAGACGTTAAGGACTTACCTAAACCCATTAAATCGAAGATTTACGTTATTTAAAGTCTACGCTTCTTAATTCGTTTTTTATTTCCGAACGAAACCGTTTTGAAAAGTTTTATAACTCTGCTTATTACTTATTAATGAATATCATTCTATTCCTTAAAAACTTTGAAAAAAATATGGTGCTATGAATTTATATTATAGAAGTAAAGGAGTATTTATTAATATTTTAGGCTATATTTTTATTTATAGATGTATCTTTCAAGCATATATGTGTATTAAATATATATGTATTATATTTTTGTCATATTAAAAATATTTACTCATTTAATTGCTAAGTTTCCAAAGGAATATATTATTAACAGTATATCATGTAAAAAAATTGTATATTATATTTTCATGTAAAATTATTTTCTATCCTAATTATTTTCTTGCCAAGTAATCGTTGTATATTGATTATAAATTAATTAAATTTGCGTAAAAATTTTAGATAAAACTAAAATGTGAAAAATGTATTGTAAATTACCACATATATGCAATATAATGATAAAAGTACATAAGAACGTATATAGGAACATATTTATATCATATGCTAATGTACATATGTATACATATGCTTCCACTTTTCCCACCCAATCATATATATACGCACGCACGTGAATACAGATATAAAATAAGAAAGCAAAATCAATCATTTAAATATGCACATAAGTGTGCCAAAAAAAATCGACTGAAATATAGTCTAGATCATCGTGATATCGAGTTTAAAAAACATTTATTACGTTTAGTTATCTAAAACTAACGTATTCTATTTTGGATCTTTAATCTTATTTACTAAGATATTACTTCCTGTATGTGTATACTACGTAACTTTTGTTTTAATTATTAGCAGACATTATTGGGACAAAACGATTAAACATCACCAACATTAATATTAAGAAATTATGTATATGTAAACCTCTTACCTTTGTATATTCTTGCAGAATCTTATATTTTATTTCATACGAGTTATACATAGATATATTAAATATTGAAAAGAAACACAATAATGAACTGGATAACAAAATGCGTTTTATCATATCAATATTTCAAAATTAATTATAGATTTTCAGATCGAATTATTGTGTAAACTGTATTTGAGATATACATATATCTTGATATCAATTAATCACTTGCTATTATAATACAATTTAAAATATCTGACATGTTAATAGCTTTATGGATCAATCTTATTTGTGACAAAAAAAATAATTTATAGAAAAATAAACAAGATAATTAAACTATGTTAAACTTTTAAAACATTGTTATTAAAAAGTACTTGAGATATAACAATCTCTTAAGATTGCTATTATCATTAAAATGATTATTTTTTGTAATTAAAAGTAAAAATAAAACATAAAAATTCCCAAATTCAAATAATTTCATCCAAAATTTATACTTCTAGTACATTATTTAATCTATCCATAATAAATTTAAATAAATTGCTGTCTTTAATCCTTAAATTTTATTTTCATCAGAAATCAATTGTCCAGAGAATAGAGTATAATATAAATTTCAACTTTTTTAAAATATATGCGCCATGGAACATATTTCATTCGCCATAAATATTAAAATAAAAAATTCTAAAGGAATTTATGATCAAAACCATATCTTTGAATATCACATTGAATAATTTATAAAAAACTACGAAAATTATATATTCTATTAAAAAAACACATCAAATATGAGAAAATGGCCGAAAGTAAAAATGCCATTAATTATTATTAATAATGTCAGCAAAACAACAAACAATTTAAAAATTGAACAAAATTATGAAAATTTGAAATTAAATATTAAACATATTTTTGAAAAATTGATCATAATTTTATTAGTTCTCTATGGTTCTTTGCTGTTTTTCTTACTTTCAATGAGAAATCGTTGTTTGAACCTAGGTTTCCAGGTCACTGCGGCAAAAGGCAATGGCCATCGTGTGATCGAAATCTGCTTTTTGGTGTCGCAAAGTTGTGACCCCGATTTCATCATTTATTCTGCGTTATCCGAATTAAATAGGATTTAACGAATAAGAATTTTGGCTAACCAAACGAAATTGTTTGATTGTATATATATGTATATATTTTTGTATTCTAATTCAATATATAATTGCTCGTTTTTTTTTGCTACTTATTTTCAATAATCTACATTTTAGATTTCATTATGTAATATATAATTGCGCATAAAATATTATAAATTTTATTATAAAATATACTTAAAATATTTGTACATATAAAATAATTAATAATTTACACAACACACACACACATACACGTGTATATATATAATAATTATATATATTAGACACTTATAAATATTTATATCTATGTATATATAGACATATATATACATATATACACATATAATATTTCAATACTGTTTCAATATTTGTATAATTATTTACATTACATATATATATAATAATTATATATATTAGACAGTTATAAATATTTATATCTATGTATATATAGACATATATATACATATATACACATATAATATTTCAATACTGTTTCAATATTTGTATAATTATTTACATTACATATAAATATAAAAACTAAATTATTACCCTATATATTTCATATAAGTTTTTAATTTTTAAAAATTATGTTAATTACATGATTTTTTTGTGAAATATCTATTTTGAAAAAAATGGTTTGTATGCAATAACTTTTTTCAATTATTTTAAATGCTATTTATTAAATATTTGATTATTTTGTATTTATTTTAAATCAAATGTGTATAATCCCAGCAAACACCAAGTAACAATTATATAACTGTTAGTTATAATTTCCCACTCAACAATATAAATGCAATATAACACATGTGTTATATATTACATTTACATTGTTGAGAGGAAAATTATAACTAACAGTTATATAATATAGTTACTTGGTGTTTCCTGGGATAGACCTATTGAGCATCATACTACTGTGTTTAATTATTTTATATTTATTTAAATATTTGTAATTTCAAGATTATTTTATAATTTTTAAATTATACCTATATGCATGTGTGCATGTATAAGTTTTTTAAAATTATCATATAATTTTATTATCATATAATTCATTATCATAATTTCATTATCATATAATAAGAAATCATAGATTTTTATGAAAAATCTTTTATGTAAAATATATATTATAACAAATGTTGCTTTCTTTTAATATAACGCATCATATATTATTATGCCATAGAAAGAAGTTTTATCGCAAACTGTTATTAATATTGCTTCATACGTCATACCATATACATACAATTTCAAATTTTTGGCGAATGAAATAGTGTGACAATATACAATTATAAATTATTACCCAAGTTAAAATAAAAATCGACTGACTCACCAAAACGATGCGCAGCAACAGAATTGTAAACTGTAAAATATAAATATATATGAAAATTATATAATAAAATAATGAAATACAATAATTGATGAATTCAAATTAAAAATTTTGAAAAATAAAATTATTATTTATACATTAAAGAGTATTTAAAATTAAAAATAAATAACAAATAAGATATTTACCATAAATATATATGTTGTTCTGCTGTTACTGGATGATACTCCTTTTCTCCTCTCTTTTCTTCCATTCCTCCTGATTCCTCCTTGTTCCTGTATGCAAATTGTATACATAAGTTGTAAAATATTCAAAGTTATATATGTGTATAATAAAATTTAAAATAACATTTCAAAAACTAAAATTAATCAAATTAATTAAACTTAAATGAAAAATACTAAATTAAATAATTTTAGCATAAGATAAATAATAAATAAATTATTTACCGTACAGTTGCTCCGCCGTTGCCCGATGCCACCCCGGGCCTCCTCGTAGAAGCTTCGAAACACGTACACTCGCGTTACTTTTTGTTCACGACACCCGGGTCTTAGCTATCACAATCTTCGACAATCTTCCGATAAAACGCGAGAGCTAATTAATTCGAGGACGACGATGACGAGCTCCCTCGCGACGCACTCGGGAGTTCCGACTCGACGAGGAAGTTTCCGATTCACGAGGAAGTTTTAAAGAGGAACCTTCGATATGAAAATATAGCAAATGGCAGCGCAACCGTGTTATTGGTTACGACCTGCAATTTTTATGAGAATTACGAACCTAATATACGATACTTCGACACAATGATACGAAAATACGACAGGAAATGCGCGATCGCCCGCGATGACCGGAAATACGACCCCGACGAAGCCGAAAAACACGAAAAATTTCGGCGTCATAAGCGCCCAGTGACTCTCGCGATCCGTCCTCGATAACTCAAGCGCGCGAATTTTCAAGGGGGAGCTGTGACGTCACGCGAGGGACGCGAAGGACGAAGGAAAGTCGAGCGAGATTCGTGAGCGACAAGTCAATTTCGCGCGTGCGATCACGATCACGAAATCAATCTCGCACGTGCGATCGCGATCACGATGTCGGGACACGCGACGCGATTGGATTTATACGATAATTAACGATGCTAATCATAGCTGCTAATTAATATTTACCCTCGTCGCGGATCGGCTGACTATTCGAACATTGATCAACAATGAGAAAGTAAACCAGATGGCAGCAGCATTTTATAGACTGCCTAGGGTGAAGCGCTCGAGCGACCAGTCGGAGCGAAGAGATTCTCGCTCTCCGATTGGTCGGAGCTTCCGCGCCTTGACCAATCGGAGAGCGAGAATCTCTTCGTCCTGATTGGTCGATCGAGCGTTTCTCCCTATATGAATATATTTCCACGTATATTTTTGAACACAGTTTATAGAATGCTGCTGCCATCTGGTTTACTTTCGCATTACTCGTGGTCAACGTTTGAGCAGTCATCGCCGGTTCGCGACAAGGGTGAATATTAATTAATATTCTTAATTAGTATCTGTAATTAGCATGGTTAATTATTGTAACAATAAAATATTAAATTTCGTTCGCCAGGAATGAAATACTAAGGTAGTAGATATTAAACTGACTACACTGGCTGTCTATTATTTGAAAAGGACCACAGCCCGTATGGTCGAAACGTCAATAAATATAGTCAAATCTAATAGACAGCCAGTGTAGTCAGTTTAATATCTACTACCTTAGTTAATTATTGTATAAATCCGATCGCCATCGCGTGCGCAAAATCGATCTCGCATCTCGACGAGGGAATTTCGCTCATCGATGTTCGTCCTTCCCCGGAAGGTGAGGTGAGGAAGGGAGGAGGGGGAGGATCGCGTGGCATCACAGCTTCTTTCGAAGTCGACAAGTTCACGAGGATGGATCGCGAGAGATACCGGGCGTGTTCGATATTGTCGATCGTATTCTGAGTAGCTCATCGCGCGTTTCGAGTTGCATTTTCGCGTCATCGTGTCAAAGTATGCTTGCGCGATGAACTTCGCTCTTAATTCTCGTAGAAATCGCAAATCAACTACGACAACGATCGTCATATTGTCAATTTTTTAGTCCATCTTCATGGCGAAATACTCGGCAATAAATAGTCGGCGAATTCTTCGATTTCTCTCATATTCAGTGAAGTGTTCAATTCTTAAACAACGGCAATTTCCGAGTGCGTCGTGGGGAAGTCGCCATCGTTGAGTTTTATGTTCAACCTAGAATTTTATCGAAGATTCCAGACTGTTGTATTTAGCGCTGGAACGTAGTTCACCTCTAGCGCGATAGAGGACGCACTGTGCGTCGTCACGAGCCGCGAGAACTGTCAAATGGTGGGGGGCAGCGGCGGCGGAGTGGGGGAAGCTCCGCCATTTCGGCGGCGGCGCGAGAAGGGTCAGTCGGTAGCGGCGCGTCGTCCCGGACGGGTGACGGAGTGACGATGTATCGATACATGCGTTTACGCGGATCGTCGCGGACGGTCTCGGTGCTTTTCCGCGTATGTCTTGTGTCGCTTGTGCTCGTGTGGCGGCCGGTGTCATGTCAGGAGAACAGTCTGACGAGCCGTATGCGGGCGATCAGCGAGGATCTGGACCGACAGCTCAACGAGATAATGGCTTCGCAGGCGCTCACCTATTCGACGATCAACATCGCGGGATTGCCCTACAACGCCACCACCAAGTTCAATCCGAAGGGCATGGGCCAGCTGTACAACGTAACGAATATGTTCATCGACTTGGTCCAGAGCAAGCAGGCTTATCCAGAAGGTTAGTGCTCTTTCTCTTTTTGCTCTCGTAAAAGTGTCGACGGCGGAAAACGCGTCGCGACACAGGACTGTCAGGGATAGGGCAAGGGTAAGCGGATTTTCGTCTCGCGATGGTTACGCCCTGTAATGATACGCCGATACGCGCCCGAAAAAAATGGCCGGCCGCTTGTTGGTAAACAGACGAACTTGTCAAAGGCTAGCGCCGGCTGTCAACATGTTTGACAGGTGATCGCGCTCGCTCTCAGAATTTATTACGGATATAGAAATCTTATCTCGCTGCCGGAGAATAATTGTAGAACGAAAACTTCTATGAAAAATTGTCTATTGCAACATTGATATTTTCGCTAATACACACTGAAAAAAATTTAGTTAATGCCTATAAGTATTTTTTTCAATACTGTCAAATAAATCGTTTATTTGAAACTAATAATATTTATTTGATATGAAAAGTATTTATTTGTTTCAAATAAATATTTATGTTTCAAATAAATATTTATATGTTTCAAATAAATGATTCATTTGACAGTATTGAACTAATAATATTTGTTAATTTAACAAATTTTTTTAGTAAAGTGTCATCAAAAATTTATTTCGAAAGAACCGTGTGTCGTAGTCGAGAGTGAAGGGACATGGAGATGCTCCGAATTTAATATGTTTGTCTTGCAGTAAATAATATTATAAACAGTGATTAGGGAAATAGTAAGAGAGGCAGCATATCTGGCTCCCTTTATGTGATTTTAACTTTAAATGTTATCAACGCGAATTACAAGAAGCCGTATACTTTACTAACCAACTCCAACGCACGAAATCCTGCTTTACAAGCGGATGCGTTCATCGCACACTCGAGGTCGACGCGAGGATGACGCGTGAAGGTCATGGAATCGAATGATAAATCCATTATAAAAGAAATTATAATTAATCGCGAAATTAGAATGTGAAATATGAGCATATTCTTGAAATTGATATACAACGACACTACTTTAACTGTGTGCACATTTTTTATACCTTTTAATATTATTTATGATATACATAAAAAAAAAGAATTTAATTTTAATTATAATAAGCGCTAGCTAATGTAGCTGCACTTTAATTAACGAGCAGAAGAAAAGCGCACTATTTATAATCTTGTCACAAATGCAAAACATAAGAAAAAATTATATCATATTCCAGAACTATGGCAATATTCATGTTGGAGCATTTACAAAAGTTTTATAAATTAAATTAAATTAAAATAAATTAAATTAACTTGTTAAATTAAATTATTACACAAAGAAATGTCATATATTTAATTTTCAATTCAATTATAATATATAAAATATATTACATTAAAAAAATCGTATTACATTTGGCTTGAAAAATTAATGCTCATTCATTTATACGTACAAATTTTCCACTCGAATTTATTGTGAATAAATGCTTTTATCCGTAAATCTGATTTTTCCGATTCGTGCAAATTCACGCGAAGTTCCTATGGAATATTCCTTATAAATTGAATTTATGTCCGGTGAGATTATGCATCCAAAGAAAATCGATATCAATTGAAAAGATTTGATACGTGTTCGCTCATGCGCGTTTTTTTATTCCATTCCGATTAAATTTATGCGATTGTCCGTCCTTTGTTGTCTTCAAATGCAATTCACAATAAATGAATTAATCGCGATTTTTTATGTTTACATATAGATTCTTCTTTAATCCTTATTTGGCTGATTAAATTTATTGTCTACTATTTTAATATGCAAATTGATATTTTTACAATTATAAAATTTATTTTGCTTTTTTTACTGATTTTAAAGTCTTCCACTGGAAAGACTTATTTCACGTTACATCACAAGTCATAAATAAAACAGTTTCTACATTAGGTGCATATTAACTTGAACAAGTTATCAAAATCTTCTATTTGGTCTCTAATTATGCGTGATAATTATGACGCGGAATATATATATATATATATATATATATATATATATATATATATATATATATATAGGAACACTTTTGCTCGTAATTTATGAATGATCTTGTTTGATGATAAAAATTAGCGATTCGCTTCTGCAGCTTATTGGTATCGTAGAAAGAGTGGAGAATTCTCGTAGCACATTAGCGATATATATATATACACACATACACAATATATGTATATATACACATAAATGCTTTCCGCGCAACGCGGGGTGACTCGTTAAAAACTCCGATAACTCTGTGAACTATGCAGATCATTGACCTCCCAGGCGCAATAACGTAGGAGCGTGTGTATCGCGTCTAGCAGGAAGTTGATAGCGAGAGAGCACGTCATCGCACGTCCGTCCAGAAGCAAGAGAGAGAACTCTAGTGATCACTTGTCAGATATTTTTTTTTCCTGTTTTCTCGTCAATATTCGCTGCCATTCATGCCTGAGAGACAGTATTTGACAGTACTAGAGGCCGATTTTTCCAACTTCTCGATAAGTTTTATCTGATAGGTAGCATAGTTTTAGATAAGTCAGGTCAGTTTCTTTTCAGATAAGTTATAAAAAAGAGATAAAGATATGCTACTTGTCGGGTAAAATTTACCAAGAGTTGAAACAACCGGCCCTATGACGAGGATATACTTGAACGTTGTGAAGTCTCATAGAAATATCTTAATTATTTCACTATTTTAAAAAAGAAATTACATAATTATTAATAAAACAAACATATGATTTTGTGACTAAAAAAATATTTTGATACATATGATATTGTAGGTGATAAATAATGATAAGAGATTTTCACTCCCTCCCTCTCTCTCATCAGTTTAATTGCTTTATATAAAATTCATTCGTGAGAATTGGAGTTTTTTAAATAAATTTTTCTCGTTGCACGTCAGTTTATTTAAAAAAATTGTGAACCACTCCACTCTCTCTACAACGAGATATTATATCTATGTTTGCATTTGTTCTTCCTATATAGTGCTGTAGATAAGATCGTGAAGATTTCGATATTTTAAATTGAGGGTTCTTTATCAATTTTGCGTTCAAAATATCTGTATAGTATATAGATATAGTATATAGAGAAAATAAAAATGTTTCAAAATATATTCGAGATTTTATAAATTATATACAAGCAGTATCGATTATACAAGATCTCGCGAGCAAATCGTTGTCTTTCTGAAGTCTGCGTTATATTTCAATTTCACCCAACCACTGATGAGACTATGAGTGAGTTCACAATGGAACAAAGTTCGAATTCGCTACACAATACGATCGCTCCCGCAACAATCTAATTTCGTCCGAAATTCGCGCGGCGGATTTAACGGTACCGGATGCGGTCGAAACTGGAGACGCACGCGTTGTAACTAGCTCGGTCCGGTTATTATGCGCTGACAGCGCGAGAGACTCAGGTGATTCCAAATTATAAACTGAAACTCGACACCGCATCGTGTATATGTATATGTATATGTACATATATGTATATGTGTCCACACAGTTGCTTTTCACACTCGCGGAAATTGCGGGATGATGGAATTGGATTTCAATAGTCAAGCTAACACTTCTATCCGCGGCTGTTTAGTGGCCCGTGACAGCTGTTTCTTTACAGAATGACGTTGCTTCTTTTTTTTTGTCAAGTTTATTTCCCGATCGCGCGCCGATCGAATATAACGGCACCTTGAACAGTACATATATACAGATCATTCCGAATACCCGATTCTCCGTGACTCTCCTTTTATCGCTTTATTATTTGCTCGATGATTGACAAAAAATGGAAACGATTATGAAATCGAAAATTATATCATTTCAACGAAAAAAAAGAGAAGGAAACATTTTATTTTCGTTATTAGATTTTTTATAAATATTATTATTAAATATTATTTTATAAATATTATTAAATATTATTTTTTATAAATAGTATTTTCTTTTTATGTTAGTGCAATGTGTGTATCATATACAAATATTAAAGTCTCAACATCTTGAGAAAGAAAAAAATTGTATATTTTTTAATTTTTAATTATATGTATATCAGAGAGAAAGATCACATTCCGATGTATTTATCATCTTAAAATAGCATACTTATTATTTTTTTTTTTTTTTATGTTATACGGATACGATATACATTAATTGAATCGTATCATATCCCCCGCATAGTTTTGCACTTTCAAAACAGCATTGCATTAGCAATAATTTGATCTTGTTATTAAATTTACGGGTCAATACAATTTTGAATGTGATTCATCGCTTAAAGATATAGCGATAAGATGAAGATTAATTAATCACTACGATGAGTTGAGTAATTAGTGTTCGCGTTACATGTTACTTTAAACGCATTACAACTTTATTATCAGAAAAAATAAATAATTGATTCAGATTTATTCAATTCGGGAAAAATAATTAAACAGTATGAAGCAATTGATTCGCAAATCGATCAAAAACTTATTAAGCCGCGACACACGTCAACGCGTTCACTATATAACGTGCACATTAATTTCCCGTTCAGACTGACAGATGATTTACGGCATCACGGAATCGCATTCCGATACAATTGGCGGTCGATATTATTTTATTAACGTTTTCCGTAAAAAGGGAGAGTGTGTTGTATATATATGTAGATGTATGTACATATACATATATGTATATATACATTACATTAGAGCCTCATCAATCGTTGACAGCACCCTCGATGTCTGTATATATCGATCTTATCGTCTGATTGTCATCGCACAAAAGCCGCCATTCATTTGACATTTCCTCTCCCAGATAGAGAGCGGATTCGAAAGAAAAGTGAGCACAAAATGGAAGCATTTTCGTGCAACTCTAAAGTGTCCTTGAACATTAATCTTTCGTTCAAAATTATCTGGCTCCTTTGCATTTTTTTCCCAACTGTAAAATGCGCCATTTTTCAATATATTATTGAATTATGAATTTCTCATCGATTTTTCTAAGTTGCGCTATTATCTCGTTCGTCAACAAGAACTTACAAGTAATAAACGTCGATCTCAGGTGTAAGATTACGTTATCATGATTAAATATCAGTACTTGCGTCGGTATTTATA